CTCGCCCCGGCGATGGGAGCCCGAGAGCGGGCCAAGGGCCGGCCCTGAGGGCAGCCGCGACGGCGGCTTTAAACTGCGCGGGCCGGCGCACCTGTGGGCGTCGTGAGTGCGGCAAAGCCCTGTGCTGGCAAGGACGAGTGGTTTTAACTGCCCGTCATCGCAGCGCTTTTACCCCTGCTAGTTCTTCACAGCCCGAAGGGACGGTAAAGGAACTTCACCGCCAACAGGCGCTCGGGGAAGCTCTGAAATCCCTAGTTTGGGGATAAAGGCGAGCGGTCCCGTCCCCCTCGGCAGCCATAGCTCGGGAGGCTGCAGCCCCTCCCCGAGTGCTCTGTCTTTGGGGACAGCAAGGGGCAAAGGAATGGGCTCTTCTTACCAAAAGAAAACTTAAGCAAAGTGGGCAATTTCCTGGAAGTTTTGACAAAATGGGGAGGGGGGGGGGAAGCTTTAAAGTTGTGTAAAAGGTCTGTAATTAGCCATTCGATCCGGTGTTAAAGTAAAAGCCAGGGCTTTACGGGGTCGTGAGAGATGTGCGCTCGTGCCGGTTTGACCAGTTTTCCGGCGACCCGGCCTGCCCACGGGGATGCTGTCGCGGGGGGTGGCTGCCACTTTCTATCGAACAGTCCCGCAGTACAGCTGTATCGTCGGGTTGGAAACAAATAGTTCTACAAAATGGGTTTTGCGACTTGAATGTGCCGATTTTCACATAAATATATTTTGCCTGGGCATGAACAGCGTTTTAAAGGATTTTTGGGAATGCACCCTTCTGTCAGTCATGGAACTGACTGAAGTTGAATTCAGTTCATAAAGTTCGGTATTAGAGTCACCATCTATACTGTATTTTATCTTTCAGTTATACAAAAATTTCAGTCTTGTGTTTTCATGTTTTTTTTTGTTTTTTTAAATTCAGTTTTAAATTTACTTAGACAAGCAGAATCATATTTATTGAAATAAGGCTTTAAGGTGTGAAACCAAAAGGCTCATTTTAGAAACAGAATTAGTAACAGTTGTTTTCAAGCATAATCTTACTTCAGTTAAGTCCTACAAACTGTTCTGCAAATTCCAAACCAGTTTTTGTTCCTTTAACATGATGTACTTAGACAGGAGAGAGTCAAAGAAGAGGTGCATTATCATTTCTGAATATTCCAGACCTCAGCATATCAGTTATTTAAACATATTTATTTTACCCAGCTATAGGTCAGGCCAGGAAACAGGACAAGTATAATCTTTCTGGAATTAAGTGTATATCCTTCCCCCCATGAAAACCCCCTAGAGAAAAGACTACATTATGTGTACAGAGCACATGTAAAAGGTGAGATAGCAGATGCCCCAGCACTCAATGCTATAGGTAAACTTTTTCCAAGTATTTCAGAAGTTCCTGAATGCTGTGTTTTTCAAATGCTTGCTTCCATGATCAGTTCTTTCTTTGATTGGCCTACAGTGGTACTCATAAATTTAGCGAAGTGTGGCCGGTCTGCCTAGTGATTTGGTGTCCGGTTCTACTGATCCCACAACTCCCAGGTATTTTGAAGGGAGCTTTGGGCAAAAGGACCAGGCTCTTATATTTGAGCACTGAGAAATACTGGGCTTCCTCGTGCGTTACGCACTCAGGAAAGAAAGTCTTATGCGAATCTAGAAGAGGTACAACAAAGATATATATATTCTGACAGGGATCTGCTGATTCTTATCTGATTTACATGTCTTAAAGTGATGAGGGTTCTTAGGTGTCTGAACTTCAATAAATGCAAATTAGATTGGAACTGTCCTGCTGAGCCTGATTAATTGTTTCTAAGGAGTCTCTTCTCTCTCGATGTACGCTGGGGGAACCGTTCAGACTGGACTCTTGCATTTGTGAAGACAGCTGGGGTGATCAGGCTGTGTGTTACGTTTCTTGTTTATGCAATGATAGGACAAAAGTGTTTTGTCAGAGGAAGAATTTTAGCCTTCAGAGACTAGTGAAAGTATTTTAAAGAAGGAATTTGTACTAGGTAGGGTATTTTAATTTACTGATTTTTGTGAGTTTTCACTGATTTTTGTAAGTTTTTTGAGGAATAAACTGTTTCCTATTTGGAGACCCCAAATCACATGGCATTTTGGAAAATCTTGGTGTAAGTCTTTAATAAGACTATTTAACATGATAAAGCAATAGTTTTTTTTAATCTTTCTGAACTAACTGGTTTATAGATCATGCAGGGACTAACAGTGCTTTAAAAAACGTTTGACATAATCCGGAGTTTTTAAATTAAAAAAAAAAAAAAGCTATAGAAAAGAGAATTGAAAAAATATCAGACTTTTTGGAATCAGTAATTGGTATTGCTCATGTAGTCCAAAATTCTGATGAGGTCACCAAAAGTTCTCAGAAAGGAAGGAATATAAAATCACACGAGGGACTGAAGTGAATAAGCGGAACCTTTTTTACATTTCCAAAACCGACATGTATCCACAACACCTACCAAGGAAAGACATGAAGAAAGTACTCCATTTTAGGATATCTTTTAACACTCCATAAAAGTGCTAAAAAATGAAAATCCTGTATTCTTTCTGTAAACTGGGAAACTCTTATCCATGACGGCAAAGGAGACCGGGTGGGATGGCACTCTTGATCTGTTCCGTCTGGTCATGGTACCTTTTCCCTTTGTAAATCCTCAGCAGCAGAGTTTTATCAGCAAGTTTCCATTCCTATAATTTACAGGTTTCAAAGGATTTAGTTAGACTATTTGAAATGCTTATCTCCTTGTGTATTTTGAGTTCTCAAAAATGATCCTAAAGGAAAAACTGAACAAGTACTTTGAGTCACATCCTAGATATATCATCTAATGAGTGGGCTTGAAATAAATATCTTTATGTTGTCAGTAAAGTATTCAAATAATCCCTTTTCATCATTACACTTTTTAAAGTTAAATGTAATCAAATCATACATTTTAAAAATTAATTTAGCTTATTTTGACTTAAGAGTACAACCACATGAACAAGCAGCATGTTACATTAAACTTAAAAAGGAAAAGCAGAAGGAGCATTATTGCTATATGATAAATCCACTTGCCTTCTGCAATAAGTATGCCAGTTTATACCAGCTTGAGATTCCCGAAGGCTTTTTTGCACCTTACTCTGAAGCCCCAGTGCAGATGATGGAACACTGAACTGGGCACACCACTTCAGCAGGCGTGGTAAACGCCGAGTTTCTGTTTCACTGAACTGAATTTCTCCAAACCTGTGTGTTATGGGCCTGATTCTTCTCTTTTAAGACCTTTTGCCTTGATAAAATAAATGCATAATGCTGTCTTCTGCTTTGTGAGAACTTCACATACATTGTGTATTTGTAGCCCTGACTAGCTAAAGCAGTGCAGAATCTGATTCTGCTTTTTAAACACTGGATGCCCAGACTCTGTTCTACCTGGCTAAAAAACTTTAAAATGTGTTCCTGTAAAGCAGCATTTCCCAGTGAAACATATTACAGCTATGCAGCTTATACTTGTGCAGCCTCTTAAAGGATAAAGGAAACCAGATAAAAGTTCTGAGCAAACTAATAGACTCTTAAGTGTGGAGGAAGCCCTCAATTTCTGTTCACTAATCTGGGATTTGGTCCCTCCTTGTATTCCAGTCCTATTGTTATCTTCTGGATAAATTAGAAGACAGTTTTCCTCAGTGTTTTCTGACATAGGAATATTATCTGGAGGATGCTGAGATGCATGCAGTCTGTTGTAGCACAGGTGCTTTAAAGAGGTCCACTCCACATCTTTCCTTGTGACTTGGTTTCCAGAAGTAATGGCTGACACCAGGTCAGAGTGACCTCCCTGAGAAATGCAAAGTTACTCTGCTACTGGAAATTATTTTCTGAAAATCTCTTCAGGTAATTTGCTCTGAAGAAGGATGACAGTAAGTGCTTTACAGTCTGAATATGGTCATATGTGTCAAGAATCTAGCTTTCTGCTTTAATCTTACCATTTTGATAGATTAACAGGGAAGGGAAACTGAAAAGTGCAACGAAACAAATAAACATAACAGTGAGATACTTCCATTGCAAAACTTGCTGAAAAATTGAGTTTAGGGGATTTTTGCCTAAAGCATCAAAATACAACAGAGCAGAATGAAGTACAGTACATATAATACAAAAGAAAGCAGTTAGAACAAGTATATCATAAACATAAATTGGATTTAGAGTAATAACCATCCATTCTGTGATACAGATGTAGCTTTTCTTTCTCTAACATTTGAGTACTCTCCATTTTAGTGTGTTTATCATCACAATATGCCAGTGAGATAGGAGAGATTTCTACTGTGTAGAGGAGGAGCTGGAGCAAAAAGAAGTCAGGTGATTTGCCCAAGGTAATACAGAAAACCAGCAGCACTGCAGGGAAATAAAATCAAGCTTTCCTCTGCAGGCTAACTCTTTGGACCAGTGTCAGATTTTTCCCCCTCAGATGATGATAGCAATTCTATCCCGCAACACTCTTATTTGAATCGATACACCTTACTGACCATTTTTAGTAAAACCTCTTGTGTCTCTTTATGACAACCAGGAGAATTACTGAAATTAAGTGATTTTTTTTTCCTTCATTTTGGCCCCCTCTTAGTGAATAAATGCTTCTTAATGATTGATTTCGAACTCACTGGCAGCCAGTGTGTCCTCAAGTGACATGTAACACTAACTTTCAGTAAAATAAAAGGCAGGAAAGAGCCAAGTGTTATATCTCAACTCCCTCTAGGCGTGCACTAATCTGTGGAAAGTGCTACTCTCACTGAGACAAGCTGACTAACAAGTCTCAGGATTTTCCAGTTTTGTTGGTGTTTTCTGGGGATAAAAAAGTTTCTTTAGGGTGAGGAGATTTATTTGGCATCTTTTCTTATGCTCTGATTGCCAGGAGCACTGAAACACTTTTGTTGTTTTAAAAGTTTGTCTTTGGAGGCAGAGAAGTTTCTGTAAGTATCAGAAATCACAGACTGTGTGCAGCATCTTTTCCTGCTTCCAGTTAACTTTGTGAGTCACTTAATAGAATTGGTTTGGGGTGCCCAGCATACCTTAAGAGTGGCTGCAAAATGGCTTTTAAAGGACAAATTTTTGTCCTCATTGTAAGGTTGCCAGAGCTAGACTAGTGCCAGCT